CCCACACCCCCTTCTGCCCATCCACGGCTGAGGCCCTAGGGAGCCGCGGCGGGGCCGGGACGGGCGGTGCGGCCTGCTCTCACCGCGCTGCCTTTTCTCCTCAGGGGCCGGCGGTAACCGGATCGCGCCGGCGAGAACAAGATGGCGGCGGCCTGAGGGGCGGTGAGGCGCCGGGGATGAACGGTGACGTGGGAGCCCGGCGGCGGGCGGGCGGCCTTCCCGGGGCCTGGGCGGTGCGGCCCGGGCCCGGGCACCGGCACCCTCCATGCCCGGAGCGCGGCTGCTCCCCCGCCCTGCCTGCTGGGAGGCTGCCGGGCAGACACTGCGGGCTGGGCCCCGGGTTTCGGGGAGGTAAAATGCGGTATCGGTTGTTTGTGGCGTACCGTGCATCCCCGTAAGCTACTTTTGGGATCTGCAGCCACGGGGAAAGCACGAGTGGGTCTCAGGCGGGTGAAACTGGGGCTGGAGTAGCTACTTCGTGGCCTTGGTGTAGCTGCTCTTCAAGGTATAGCGTAGGCTGCAAGCTCTGGAGCAGAGCAAGCGATGCAGCTCTGAGTACGGCTAAAAAATGCACTCTTTTGGGGTTGCTGTATCACACGGGGAAGCTGCTGTTTCTCATGCTGTACAGCTTGGAGTCAGGGCAGTTTTTAAAGCACAAAGAAGCAGCTGCAGAACTGCCTGAAGTACAAGAAATCAACAGACATCGACTTTTACCACATGTGGTAGCTTAAGAGTGGACATAATGGCAGGTGGTGGCTGCAGTAGCGTGGGTCACTGAGAGGATGCAGACAGCAGTTCTTGTAGTACGTATGAACTCCAGTGCTAGATGTGTAAATGACCGATTTAAATCTTGGAGACCTTGAGGCTAACTAGTTTTTTAATAAAGTTTTCAGAAAACTTGTTTTGCTTTTGCTTCTGTTCTTAACAAATCCCACGGGGAGCATGTAAAACCACAGACCAACTTCAAAGTTTGCGTTTGGGCGCCCAGCAGACCATTTCTGCTACTACTGCGCACTTCAGGGGAACTGGAGCGTCTTAACGTGTGTGCTGCAGCTTGGCTTAGCCCAGCTCCCTTTAGTTCTTGCTGGGTGTGTTGGAGCACCTGAGCTGGTAATAGAAGGATCTAGGGGGGTTCAAGAATGGGCTGAGCTCTTTGAATGATTAAGGAGTGCAGGTGTGTTTGTTAGACAATCAAAATACCATTGTAGCCACAAAGATTATTAAAAAAATTTATTAACAGGAATGAAACAAAAGCTGTAAACAAGAGCCAGCAAAAATGAGAAGTTGCATGTAATGCTGAGTTCTCTGGCTTGTTTGAATGCACTGAACAATTAATTCTTCGTCGCTTGGTGGCAGTAAAGGCCCGTGTAAGAAGATGCCGAGTAACAGTCTGAGGAAGAGCTTCGGAGCGAGGTCAGTGCGCAGGCACTGGGAGACCAGTCCTATAGAGGGAACTTGTGACTGGGTGTGATGGGGGCTGAGTCTGGCTTAATGTTTAGGTCAAATACCCCAAATGCGGTTGCGATGTCTCTGCTGTAGTAGAGTTAGCTCCCAACAGGCATATTTAAATACTCCAAAAGGCAGCATTTACATCTTCCTTATTTAAATTAGTTTTTAAATTGGTTTTGGTCCCACACTGAGGAAGTTAGTTAAGAGTTGTAAGCTTTTTCTGCAAGATGCAAGGCTCTCCTGACCTGCAAGGAAGAGAAGGCAGCAACCCGATGGGAGCATTAAGAATACCGCTGGTTATTTCTGCCTTCGGGGAGACTCCCTGCAGCCTCTGGGGTAGCGTGTCTGTGCAGCCACCGGCACCTCGGGACAGGGGCTGCTGCTGCTGCACTGCTAAGGTTGCGCTGAGAAAGTGCAGTGCCAAAGGCGGACGTGGGCACAGATCGGGCACGGGAGCTGTTTGAGCTGTTCTGTGCCGCTGCCAGGCTGGCCCTTTCCTGCGCAGCTGGGAACTGGTACTTAGCAAGCTCAGGACTAGAGAAAAATCCCGCTCCCTTTTTTCTTTTTCTTAACCTCAGCCAGCAAGCGTGCGCTACCCAGCCTAGCATGAGAATGGAGGAGGCTGTAAGATAAGCGGCTTCGTGTAGGAGACATTTGTCTAGCAGCCACAGGAGCACAGCGAAGCTCACCAAAGCAGCATGAAACAGCGAGTTTTGCAGATCCCCGCGCGCTTGACAGTGCCCGAGTAACTTGCAGCGCCTCCCCTGTGTTCTGTTGCTACTTGCAAACAAATCTTAAGAGAGCGCTTGTAGCAGGCACTACCACCTTTTAGAGAGGGTAAAGGTGAAGAGCGTTGTTCCAGTTATTTCAGAGAAAGTCTCGGCTGAGAAATGGATGGCTGCTGCTCCGGCCGGAGCAGCTGTGCCAGTGCTGGCCATCCCCTTGGATCTGTGGGGACCACTGCTGAGGTGGGACATGGCGGGGGGTCCTGACTGCCGTGCCCCCGCGGCCCCTGCCTGGTCCTGTGGTGCTGGCACTGGCAGCAGGGGTCTGCTCCAGGCTGTGCGCTGCAAACATTCCTGCAGGAACGTTTTTTCAAGAAATAATTTAAATAAAATTTAAATCAGTTGAAAGATTTATTTCTCCCTAAAAACCTTTTTAGGAAAAAATGCTCTGTTTGCAGTAGGTTTATTTTGGGATCCTTTTTCATACTGTTACTGTGCAGGACCCGCTTTAAGCAGTAGCTGCTTGTTTTACTGCAGCTCCCTGAGGAGCATAGCTCTGAGGAGCCCCTGCCTGCCTGCCTGACCACGTGCAGGAGCTGCGGAGGGTCTTTGCGCACGCCAGGAACGCAGCGCTGGAGCGAACACCCTGAGCAAAGCAAGGGGCAGGGGTGCCTGAACCCGCTGCTGAGAGCTGGTGCTTGGCTGGAGAGCGAAGGATGGGTTATTTTATTTTTAAGTGGCCCATTTAGGGCAGCGTGGGGAGGTTCGGTGTGGTTGGCACCTGGTGTCGTGAGTGTGGCGTTTTCAAAGAAGAAAATTGCCAAAGGCCAAATACTTCATCCAAATTCAAATTTGTACTTAGAAGTGCAGCTTGAAAAAAAAAAAGCCAAATGCCTGACGCAGACCAAAGGGGTGAGGAGTCCCTTGAAGAGCGCTGGCGGGAGAGTCTGAAGCCTGTGAAATCAACGCCTACAGCGTTCCCCCCAGCTTTCTTCAGTTAACAGAAAGAGGTTTCCCAAGAGAACTTTGAAGATATCAAAGCATTGTTGCAGTCCAAAAACGCTATCACGCTTACATGAAGGTATTTGAATAAGCTGCAATACATTAGATTTCTTCTCAATTAAAGTACTAGAAACAGCAGTAGTAAGAGAACCAAAGCCTTTACCGAACAGATAAACATTCAGGAAATCTCTGTACAACAGATAGGTTAGCAGGAGCTTACTTAAACAGACGGCTAAGCTCTTGTCTTCTGCAGGGAAGAGGAGAAACCTTCATCAAGGAGGTGTGCTACACCACATGAAAGATGGACAGACCTAAGTGAGCAACTATAAAAATGGTTGCCTCGAAAACAAGTCTTTCCTGCGTGACCCAGGCCAAGGGTTCAAACAGCTGAATTCCAGCTACGCAGGGAAAGAAAAGGGAATTTGGGACTTTTTCCTACCCAGATGTTTGGTGTGGAGAAGGTGTTCTTTCCCCTTAGTCAGACCATAATTCCTACTAACATTAAAGAAGCCTCATGACGCTCCTGGCTGCTGCTGAACGGGTAGAGACAGCCGGGTCCGCTGACTGCCCCGGCCCTGGCAGGAGCGACAGCGAGACCCCAGCCCACACCAGTCCGCTCCTGAACACCCACCTCCAACCTGCATGGGGACAAGTGGCTGTGAGCCAGGCGGGAGCAACCGGTGAGGGAAGCCGGAGATCTCGCAGTGCGGATGGATGCAATGGGGGCTCGCAGCCTGGCCAGCGGCCGCCCCAGCCGAGAGAGCTTTTTCTGCTGCTTCTTCCATTCCCCATGTCTCAGCTCACCTTTTAGGCAGATACAGACACGACAGACAGACATGCACACACTGTCCACGAGGAGAGAGCGTGGCGCACAAACACTTGGCATGAGTCTCTGTACAAATGCACCGAGCGCATTAGGACCTGCAGCAGCCCGAGCCTCTCACTTCCTTCTTCACGTAGTCGTGGAGCTTGAATTTGGGCTCGTTGGGCAGCTTCATGGACCTGTGCTTCAGTTCTCTGTGGGAAGGGGAAAACCACATTACTTTTCCACCTATGCTGCCTGCTTCTAAGCTGCCTGGCCCAGCTCAGTTGAACTCGACTTGGTCTAGATGGTTTGCTAAAGCTCCCCCAGAAGAGATACTTCATAGCTCATGTGAGATGACAAGTACTTGCCAGCACAAGAGCTGGAGGTGGGAGCCCAGGGAGCGAAAAGGTGGGTGACAGTGACGGCCTTTATCCCAAAGACTGCTGTCCCCCCCACGGGAGAGGTGCCTAGCATGGCCGCTGCACCAGTCACTTACTTTGCAATGGCTGTGAATGCTAATTCAACATTGAGGCCACTTTTTGCGCTGGTCTCCATAAAGGGCACGCCGTACTCCTGCAGGACAAGACACACTGGCGTCAGAAATGCCACCTGGGGTGTCCCCGGGGGTGCGGGAGCTCCTGGCTTGCACCGAGCCCTGGCAGCCCCGGCCGACATCGGTGCCTGCTGCGTGAGCTCGTACCCCACTCTGGGAGAGGGGCTCTGCCGCCGTGGGCAGGAAAAGCCAAGTGAGGGTCCACAGCTCAGGCCTTTCTTACACAACTTCAGAAATAATTTTTGAGGACAAAGAAGCGAAAAACATTAGTGGAAGCTTAGAGGAAGAAGAGCAGATGAAGAGAAAGAGGAGAGCAAGACAAAGGAAGAAAAGCAGACGTATTTTGGGTCAGACTGGTCTCCAGTTAACCATTTCACTGGTGTACATCAGCAAGTACACGTTGGCGTGCTCACACATCCCCAGTCAGAGCATGTAACAACCGAGTCCACTGCAGCAGACGGACACCCTCACGTACCTTGGCTAATTTTTCTCCATCTTCCCTTTTCACCACTCTGTCCTGGGCTGAATCCACCTGCCAACAGTAATGGCAAAGAGGAATTTGGGATGATTCAGAAGGTTAGCAGTAGGCAACCCCCATGTCCCCTTATGCCCTCCCAGGCTCCCCTGCCCGCAGCTGCAGTTGCGGGACTGTCAGGGGAGGAAGAGGAGGCTCTGATGAAGCCATGGGGCTGGGCTCACCTTGTTTCCCAGTAACATGAGGACCACGTCTTGCTGCGCATATTCATGAATCTCTGTCAGCCAAGCCTGGAGGGAGACAGCCGGAGAGAGGGGTTAGCAACAGCTCCGGGAGGAGGAGGGGGAGGATGGGGGGCTGCCCTGGTCCTGGGCACCGAGCACCCTCTGTGGGAAACCCTGTTGTCCCTGAGCCATGCTGGGGTGTGTTACACGGACACAGGGAGGAGGTGGCTGAGGGTTAGATGCAAAATGAAATGCCCAGCTCAGACACTTGGCTGTGCAGGGCAGGAGCTGCAGGCAGGGAGCTGCAGGCAGGGAGCAGCTGGTCCCACAGATCCCCTGTGATTCAGCAGCACCCTGGAAGAGGAGCTGCCTCCTTCCCTGCCGTTCGGTAGAAGACAGCCAGTAGCCAGCGACTCGGCCCCGAGCCAGGGTGCCACCGAGCCTTGGGGGACCCACTTTGCCGAGCAAATCTGGCACCCCGCTTTGGCTGCTGACCAAGCCCCAATTCTCAAGGATAATGGCAGCCTTTCAACCCTGCTGCCCGCTCTGTCTGACCATAGGCACTTGTAGGACTTTAACCCAAATTCTTCGTTGGTTGGGACCTTAAGACTAAACACCCTTTTGGAGGGTAAGGCCAAAGGTTTGCTCTGGGGTGTGCCCCATGCCCGCATTCTGCACGCGCTGCCCCCGTGCCAAGCACGCTCAACCCGGCAGGTGGCCAAACCTGCCTCCCCGAGCCATGGGGCGGCTTCCCTGCCCTCTAATCCAGCCTAATCTAATCAAACCTGCCCTAATTCCCTGTAATCCCTGACCCCGCAGTGTGAGCGGTTGCTTGCCGCCTCTCAGGCGGGCAGCGCTGCCACAGACCATGCCCCGGCTCCGAGCACCAACACTGGGCTCACGGCAAGCACCGGGTGATCCCAGCTCCACCACCGCTCCTCACCCAGCAGCATCCTGCACCAACCCCCAGCTGGCCAGGAAAGTGAGGGGTGATTTGGGATTAGACCAGGAGCCCAATGCACGCGGATGCAGCCCCAGGACCCCATCACACCCAGCTGGGCTCGGGGCGCTCAGCTCCATGGATGGGTTGGTCCAAGGGACAGTCGGTCACTCCTGACAACCCCTCAGCTCCCTTCTGGCTCTCCTCACCCTCCATCACGCTTTCCAGTGCCTCACACTCACCCTGGGCACTCATTCCTCCCCACTGGGGCCACACGTGCCCTGTGGACATCCCTCCTGCAGCCGTCCCTCCCGCGTCCCTGCGGGGCCAGGAGAGCTGATGCTGCAGATGGGGCCACGTTACCCAGCAGCATGAAACCTCCAAGTGATTTTCCGTCTTGTTGCAGGATCACAACCTCAGCGCAGATCCACAGCCTGGTTAATGACCAGCACTTACTCTCCATTACGCCCAGCAGCAGACGCCTCTCCTTGAGCCAACCAGCTTGTCAGGCTGGAAAATGCCACCGTTGGCCAGCCCCCAGCTCCCACGCTTGCAGGAAGCATTCCTGGTGCCGGTGACATGGGAGCAGGGTGGCAGGACGTGCCCCGTTCCCCACCACGGCACTGCAGGCGCAGCGGGGTGGCAGGCGTGGGGCTGCCGATGGAAGGATGCTCCAGAGTAGGGACAGCTCCAGGCACCCGGGGCCAGAGGGTCAGGGTGGTGCAGGACCCCCAGGAGCTGGTGTGGCGGATCACGGCTCCCCGCTCCCCGCCTGGGGTGTTAATGCTGGCACGGCACCTCCCGCACTATCGAACAGGGTGTTTTTGCAGGCATGCAGCCTGCTCACCGCAGATGCACATGGTGTACTCCACATCTGGGACATGAGCAATTATGTCCTATTCATTCAGGGCTAATTGTTCCCAGGGCTCATGGTATGCTCTGCCACCACTGGTGTAGTTCGCCCCCAGAAGCCACACAGGTCCTGCGGGGCGAGAGGAGAGGACACCGATGCCAGGTCCTCCTGCCCCCCCGCACAGCGAAGTACCCACGGGCAGCATTTGCTCTCCCTGCCTCTGGCAGATTTAACAGAGCCCTCTACTCTGACACCACTCCCCAGCACCCCTGAAGCACCCGCGTGGGGGCTCAGGGCCAGCCGGGGGAGCCGGCTCTGCGGGGAGGGGGCAGACTTGGGTGGCACAAGGGGCCCCCACAAAAGCCATCAGGAAGGGCAGGTCTGCTGGGGGTGAGGAGCGTGCAGCACCATGCGACCCTCTCCCCTGCCCAGGTTTGGCACTAAGGCGAGTGGGGGCAACGCGTGCCCCAAGCCCAACCCGTCAGGACCAGAAGGTGCAGAGGAGGATGAGGGAGCACCTCGCTCGGTAAAGCTACCTGCGCTCCTTTACCGGAGCAAGTTCTCCAGCTGGTGCTGTAATGATACACAAGATTAATTTGCTGGTGAAGTGAATCCGTCACCCCTTTTATTTGCTATGAAAGGGAAAACCTTCTCTGCTGTCCTTGTAGGCAGACCTGCTGTCAGAGAGGCGCTCGGCATTAAACACAGCCCTTCTGGAAACAATCACGGGTCATCCCTCCAACACGCACATCCTGCAGCACATTCCCCTCCCTGGGCCGACCCACAACCGCGACCCAGCATTGCACATGAGGGACTGGCAGAAGGGGCCCAGGGGTGCTGCCGTACCTGGATGTTGTCAAACGATGCTTTGTTGGTGACATCGTAGAGCAGGAGCAGGGCTGTGGAGAGAAGGACAGTGCATTACTGCCAGTGCCGCAGTGCCAGGCAGGAGCACGGCCAAGCAGAGCCCACAGCTCAGAGCTTGCTCTGCACTGTTCCCCAAGGCAGTGCACGCCCCGCTGCGGGTCACGCCGGGGGACGCAGTGTTAAAGCACTGCTGAGGTCCCCGCTGCAAAATGTAAAGCAACATGCTTAAATCCACTACAGGCAATGCCTTAGACACATGGTGTTTGCACCTCAACATGCAGAGGCTCCTCCATCTTCTTCCCATGGGGAAACTGCTCCGGTGATTCCTGATTCACCTGGCCTGCAGTCGCGGCTCAGGGCCCTGAAAAGCCGGAGGGAGGGAGCTCCCCCCCGGGAAGCAGAGGTGGCTGTGCTTACCGTGCGCGTCCCGGTAGTAGGCGTGGGTGACGCTGCGGAAGCGCTCCTGCCCGGCTGTGTCCCAGATCTGGAAGGCAGATGGGAGCAGGGGGTCAGCCACGACCTGCCGCCACACGGGCTGAGGGACCCACCCAGCACCAAAACCAACGCCAAACCAAACGGCACGGTGCAACCCCAGGAAGCTTCTTCAGCCTTTTGCTTCTAGGGACAGTAATAGGAAAAATGGCAAATGCAATAAATATTGAAGCATCACCTCCCCGCTCCTCGGTGCGTGGAGATGATGGTGTGTGGCAAAGGGCTCCCAACATGTCCCTTAATCGGAAAATCCATCCAGCAGATGGATGTGTGGGGACCCGCTAATTTGATTTATCAGTTTTTAATGCAGCAATACATTTGCAGAGTGCCACACTGCTGCCAGGGGAGGATCAGCACTAATGTCGTTACTGAGCTCTGGGCAAAGGGGTCAGAGAAACGGTCAGGTCTCAGGGGGCTGTAGGGGTACACAAAATTTCCCATGTGTCCCACAGGCTGGACACAGGCTGAGCCAGGGGACGTGGATCCCTTTGGAGGATCTCTGTTGCTCTCACCATCCCCCAGCTCTCCCAAAGCAGGAGCCGCCTGGAAAAGCTGGGCAAACCCCGCAGGCACTGCTCTGGTCTCACCGGCTCCCGCCATAGTCATCGGCAAGGAGGCAGATTGGCTGGGATGGGGATCACCGCGGCCAGAACAGCCCCCAGCTTTGAGCAGGCTCCCGCCGAGGGGACAGAGCAGCCGAAAGGGCTTGTAAGGCTGTCCCGGGGTGGGAGACATGATGGCAAAGGATGGAGATGAGGGACCTGCTTCTGGGGTGCTCCTCTGCCGAGGGGCTTTGCCCAGCCCCAAACACCCAGGCGGGGCAAGGGAGCTGCTACCAGGGCCACAGGGACATACCTGCAGCTTCACCTTCACCCCATCCACTGTCAGCACCTTATTCTGAAAGAGAAGAGAAAGGGCGGTGAGAGGCGAATGTGGCTGCGGGACGCCAAGGACCCCGGGGAGACATGTGCACCTCGGCCTCCCATCCCAGGCTGCGTTTCTCCCTGAGCCCTCGGGCTGATCTCCGCTCCCTGTTTTTTAAACTTGCATACATTGATCCCAGCACCTGTTGGAGCTGTTTGCACCGTGGCCCAGCCAGAAGATCATTCCCTGCGTCTGCTGCAAGTTGCATCTATTTGGGTAGTTAAATCCTCGTGTCTGCAAGGCTGATTTAGTGCGGAGTGCGGCTCAGGCTAGAAGACCTCTGGCAATAAATTAATGAGCACCAGCATCCCATCTTAATAGCCTTCAAAAGACACAGCCAACTACTTCATATTCAGTTACCAACTTAAAAATAACTCCTCTTCCTGACGTTTGTATCCATTTTTCTCCCAGTGAGCACCGGGTTCTCTCTCAGTTTTTTTTTTTTTTTCCCCCTGTTTTGCTTGTTTTAGCAGGAAAGGTAGGAAGGAGGAGGAGAGAGGGCAGTGCCCCTCTGCACTGCCCCACAGGGTTTTCTCCAAAGCCAACAGGAAACTTTTTGTGACTGCCCAGAGCATGCCCTAGCAGAGCCGGGAACAGTGTGGGGCCGTGGGGGAGCCCATCAGTGCCCCTCTGGGCGGCTGTGCCAGCCAGCGAGAGCAGGGGACGGATCCTGATGGCATCCCAGAGTGACTGCCAGCCCGGCGAGCTGCACCGGGCTCTCCAAGCTCCAATGAAACCCAATCCTAACAATCCAGCAGTCCCAGGGGAAGAAGCAGAGAAGAGATTAATTTGCCTGCTCAATCCACAGAAATTAGCACGGTAATCAGCAGGACGTGATGAAAACACCGCCAGGGAATGGTGCACCGGTGAGGCGGCGCAGCCATTCACTGCTCCACTGATACCCAACTTAAATCCCGTTTCTCTGGAACAGGCACGGGGTGCTCTCCCCTCCCCAGACACGTGGCAAGGGGACGGCCATGGCTGCCCCGACCCTGGCTGGGCTCCGCCAGCCCCAGCCCCGCTCCCCACCTTCCCCAGCATCGACCGGCAGGAGCACAGGCTCTGCCCCGGCTCACCCCCTCGGCACCGGACACACCACCAGCTCCGGTGCCACCAAAACCTTCCCAGGCAAATGGCGGCAGACGTGTGCCGAGGGCCACCCCTGCACATCCCACGCTGCTCAACACCAAGTACCAGGTACCTCGGGATGCCGGTGCCTGGCATCACCCTACCAGGACAGCGCCAGTGGGGCCTCTTCATTTCTGTTTTGATGTCTTTAATTAGGGCAGAGAGAGCATCTCGGCTCCTGCACATCTACGCTCGCCGAACAGTGAGGATACAGACGAGGAGAGGGCAGATGTGGGCCAGAGCGCTAAATTTACACAGTCTGCTAAAGCAGGCACAGGGGAGACGATGGCAGATTATAAATACCTTCAAAGGCAGCAACGGAGATGAGGGAGCGGAGTGATTCACAGCCCAGGAGCAGTAAAAATAGGCAGGCAGGCTGTGGGGTGGGGGAGCCGAAAAGGCTCAGGGAGCCAGCCAGGGGCTCGGGACCAGCTTGCCAAACCCCACGCACGGAACCAAGGCTTTCCCTAGGACACAAAGCTGGGGGCTGCTGAAGGCTTGAAGTGCTTAAAACCGAGGGTCCCCACTGCTGCGAGGTGCTCCCCAGCCCCCAGTGCCTCCGCATACTGGCTGCCAGGTGAGCGCAGCCATGCCAGGCTAGCCGTCCCTGAAGTGGAAGCACGCGCCACGGAGAGCAGCGCTGAGAAAATCCAAGCGGAGGAGCTGCACCTTCACCACCATCCCAGCGGACAGAGAACCAGGCTGCCAGGCACCCGTTTCATGGGTGAGACAGAGCAGATTTACTTTCCACAGAAGATCCAGTTTCTACACTCAGTTTGCCCTCCAAAACCCCAGTCCTACCAGAGGTCCCAGTGCCGCACCGGAGGTGCCAGCACATCCCACGAGGCAGAGGGGCTGGGAGCCCCAGGTTCTACATCAGCGCGATGCTTATCCAAATGTTGTCCCCAGTTGGTGGCAACCAGCTGCCAATGCCACCTGCCAGGGGCTGCACCAGGGACACCGTGCCGGGAGCTGCAGAGGCAGGAAAACACTCTGCATGTCCCTGTTGGCCCCGGAGCACCCGGCTGCTCTGGATCCTGGCACAAGCACCAGCAGCCCTCACAGAGAGCACTTGGTGTGATGGATGATCACAAGGTACAATGACAACAGGAGCTTCACATTAAAAACCGCACCAAACAAGTGCCCTTCCCCACACAGTCCCATGGCCGCACCAGCACCTCAAGCTCGGAGGAGAGCACGTGCTGAAGGACAACTGTGCCCAGGGACGCGGCCATGTCCCCAGCGTGGCCATGCTCCAAGGGTGACTGGCCACTGCAAGCAGGAGGGAAGGAGAACATAGCCCTGGCCCTCAGCATGGACCAGTCGAGCCGAAGCAACTATGAAGCATCTGGTGAGCAGCCGAAAAAGCTGAAGCTCTAATGCTGCACTTCGTGCATCGGCCTCCACTTCAGGAGCTTAATTAAAAGCAAAGCTGGCAGCAGCAGGATTCACACTAATTACGACTGACCTACATTTTAGGGAGGGGGAAATGTTTAAACCTAATTAAGCACATGGATCCAGGTGCTGCTGGACTGGGCTGGGTAAAAAAAAATGGATTCCCCAGGGTTTCGGTGTGGAACAGAGCGGCATTTCAGGGCAAGTATTTGCAGAGATGCTCCTGCAGGCAGGAGACACAGCCGGAGCCATCCGGAGCAGCATCTCCTGCCTGCATCCCTGCCTGCCCCCGAGCACAGGGTGGCTGCAAAATGCAGGTGAAGAAGCCAAGCAGAAGGTGGGAGGAGCAGGGTGGGAAAAGGCAGGGGCTGCTGCCAGCAGCACACAACAGCTCCTGTCAGTGCCACGTGAACCAGTTGCCCAAGTCTTCCCCCATACCATGGCTAATAGACTTTCCAGCTTCCAATTATTATTATTTTTCCAAGGAACTGCAGTTCAATTCCATACTCGCAACCCTTCAAAGGCACAGCTGGGGGGTTTAATGACTAATAAGCATCCAAAGACAAAAGACGACATGTGTCAATGCACTGAGACATGAAATACACTGCCAGCACTGCCAGGCCTGATCACAATGAGAGGGGTTGTGCTGTTCAGGGCTTGTTCTTAATCTTGCACACTGTAGAGGTAATACTCACAGCAGGCCACCCGCTACGCAAAAGCGGGCAGGAAAGTCGTCCCCGCAACTCAGCTCTGTTGTTGCCCTTTGCAATTTCAGTTTTTATGTGTCCTTTTTCCTGGGGCTTTGACAATGTTATTAAAATACCTTCTAGCAGGGGCTGCAGTAGAATGCCTGGAGTGCCTTTGTTGGAGGAACATGATGCTCGTGAGTTAAATAATCCTCAGGACATCAGATAAATAAAGTTGGAACCTTGCAGATGCAGGAAAAATTAAATTACCAAGTGCAGATGGTCCTCAATTAAGAGCAGCGTTATCAACACACCATCGGCCCCGCTGGCTGCAGCCCTGGCGCGATCCCACCCCAGCGACCACAGCATGAGAGTGGCCATTTGGAGGCAGAGAGGAGGGAGGAAAAAAAATGCCCGTGACAGGGTGAAACTGCACTGCTCCCTGAAATGCGCACCCCGTAACAGATGATGCTTCCACCCAAACCAAGGTGCCCTCGCACTCCTCTCAGGTCAGCTTGTCAGCAGCTGCGGTTTGCATAATGCCGCTCCCCTGGTCCACAGGGTCCCCACGGTGCTGGTGAACCAAACCAGGAGTGACTGGCACATCCCGGCCCGTCCACAGACACCCAAGCCCATGCCAGCGAAGGCTGCAGTGTAACCCAGGGTCAGCAACTGTGTGACAACCCGGTTGCTCCCCAGCTTTTCCACACATTAGCTCATTAATTAAAGCCTTAAAAATTAAATCAGATACATGGATTAACTCGCTTTGCAATTAATCTGACAAATGGAAAGCTGGTTGCTGACACCGTTCAAACTCCAACAAGGGGAACCCCTCACCCTGGCTCCCCGGTGCCTCTGATGGGTGCTGGCTCAAATGATGCTGCCCAGGAGCACCCACCAACACCCACCTGCCAGAGCATCCCCCTGCACAGGCAGGCACTGCGCAGCATGGCACGTCCCAGGCACGGCTGCAGCCCGGCGTGCACAGCCCCCAAGCTGGGAGAGGGGACGGGCAGTCTTTGGGGACTGGCTGAGGGACCCTGCAGTGCATGGCCCACAGCCCTGCTCCTCCCCAAACCGTTGGGGTTGTCACCTGGGGAAGGGGAGAGGAGAGAAACCCAGGGGCTGCTGGCAGGGACTGAGAGCACCCATCCCCGTCGCTGCTGCTGGGGCCTGCAGCTGCGCCAGCGCCTCTGCTGCAGTTGGCTTGTCCCTAGAGCCGGTGGGGGTCTGACCCTCAGTCATCCCCATCTCCGCTTTTACAATGGGAAAAAAAAATCCCCCCAAATGTCATTAGTGCACTTTGGAGGCAGCCCCTGCAGCTGACCAGGGGCAAGTTCCTGCGGAAAATAGAAAAAATTGCATTAGCAAATATACATCAAACCCAACCGAAGGCAGCTGGGGCACTGGCTGAGTTAATTAGCGGCAGTAACGGCTCTGCTGTGGGCTGCAGGACTGACAGCGCAGCCACCCAGCAAACTTCATTAAGGCTGTGGTGTCACACGCTGGCCGGGGCCGGGTGGGTTGCCAGGTCCAAACTGCCGCTCAGGAGCACACACGGAGCGGGTGGTGGGGACCCCAGCCCCGTGTGCCAAGGCAGGACCTGGATCCAAATTCCCCCTTGGCAAAGCCCAGGGAGCCCCCGCCTCCACAAGCACAAACACTCTCGTGCCGGGAGGAGCTGGGATGCAGTTGTGATGGAGCCATAGCAGACAGACAAATAAACACCACCTCCAAAAGCGGCTGTAAAAATAGATTAAGGAT